ATAGCCAAGATTCGACAAACCATCTCGGATTTTTAACGCTCGCAAAGGATGTTATTGAAGAAGTTATCGCAGGTACACATGTTNAGGCGGGAGATCTCTGCAATCAATATAGCCAAGATTCGACAAACCATCTCGGATTTTTAACGCTCGCGAAGGATGTTATTGAAGAAGTTATCGCAGGTACACATGTTCTTGATCGGCCACGAAAAATGTTTTCCTGTTTTGTTATTTAATGGCCAACATTCAGGTGATAAAACGAGGATTGATGATGATAGTTCTGATGAGATTTGTTGGGAAAGACAAACTTGAGCGTTTTTCAACCGGTTTTTACACGGTTGGAGTTTTATGGAGAAGCAACGGAACAAAAATAGCTAATGTCTTTGACTTCTGCGACCTAATGATAACGCTTTATACCATGGAATGCAAGTTATTCATTGAATTAAATATTTTCACGATCAAGGCTTCGTTACTGGCGGCAATACAAACAACGTAACGATACACAAACTACAGTTTTCAAATGCAATTACACTAACATTGCTATTTCGTCGTTTGCGAGTTATTGAATGACACAATTTTACCTATTTATTATGGATTTCTATGGACTAACTCGAACTCAAACTTGTTTTAAATATTTCCACTTTATAGGAAAAGTCCATTGGAATCAGGTTTGGAAATCTGGGTGGTGACAAAATGCAGAAGTGCACCATCTTATAGGATCCAAATATTTCAGTTGGTGATATCAGCCTAGTCATCAGGAAACAAAAATGATAAATATCTAACTAGTTCTTCTTCTGAAAATTATAAACACTTCGCTTCACTCAGATTGCCTTCAAAAAGGGTTGGACCCGATAATGAGCAATTCGTAGCCAAATATTGACTTTTTGGGACCAACGCGTGTGTCCTTTCCTGATCCTATGACGATATTTTAATATATTCTTTTTCGTACTTCTCGAAAAATTGGGTTCTTTGCTTTCCTTTCTCTGTTGCACTCATCTTACGGTTATTGACTCCATCCATCTGCTTTTTTTCTGGGGATCAGTAATGAACACCTCCTATGACAGTATCTATAAAAGAGAAACAAATCCTCAACCTTTCTTAATGCTCCAGACCATCAAGGTTGCAAATGATGTTCGCGTCTACAATCAGGCGGTAGGCTGAGGTGCTGAGGCAACAAAATAGCAAAAAAAAAATTTTTCAAAAATATTGAATTTCTCAATTCGTTTAAAACAATTTAATAAACAAATTACGTATGTTAATATGTTAATAACTGCCATTGTTTGATGTGAAAACAGACATAGCTGAATATCAATTGAAAAAAAAAATTAT